CGGGGTGCGACCAGAGTCACGGAACGAATTAAATTCGTAACCCGAGGTTCCACTGTATCTTATTTAGAGCTTCCGAGGTAACAGCTTGCCTAAGGCAATCTAGTGATTTCCTGGATACTTTTGAACTTGAATGAGAAAATTAGCAGAATGCATCTTTAATATTTAGATTATGAAAAGAGAAACAAGTCTGATTTGGACATTATAATAATAGAAAAATAAGAACTGCTTATTTGCATGTAGAGAATGTAGCCTATCTGTCCTGCATAGCAAAGTTCAAGTAAGTACTAGTTTTGCTTAGATAGAATTGGCAATAGAGTTTGGTTTTGTCTTTAACGTACTTTTGCCTCTTTAGGCTGCATTGGTATTAATGTAATAATTTGAGATGTTCTGTAATGTAACTGTTCCATGACCAGTCTATATTTTGTTAACATGGCTACTTGGGTGCTTATTTCACCAAAGGAGAAAGCAAATGACAGCTGTTATTATAAAATGATTGAGTTTATCATGAACTTCCTCTCCTGTTTGAAACATAAAACCAAACAACAATATCCAATGTGGAAGGTATAATGTAACATTACAGAGTTGTCTGGAGGAATCATTTTTTCCCAAGCAGTTGGGTTGCCTGCTGAGCTAAAATGCCAAATGCATCAAAAAATTGAGAGTCCCATGAGACCTGTTCACATATTAGTATGAGAATAACTAATAGTTATATTTGTAGGGCAAACTTGTTTGAAACCTTAAAACATTTACTTTTCTTTTATGGAAGAACAGTGTGAATTTGTAAAATCACCAATGTAATGAAGTCCGGCATTGATCTGTTGTTTCCTAATAACAACCCCCCCCCCCCCGCAGCAACTACAGGAATTGAGTTGTACCTGCTAAGCAAGAGTTTTCAGGGCAGGGTTTCTAAATTGTATTTTCCTGCTAAGTGTAATCTGTGAAAACAGGAATTGTTTATGTGTATGTGGGATTCACCTGCAAATGTTCCTTTCTTCTGTTCAGTTTTTGCTATTTCCTTTTTCATGACCTTGCTTACATCAGAAAGAAGGGAAGGGCGATGTATTTTGTTATCTTGCTTTTAAGTAAGTTTTCCCTTAGCATTTAGCATTTATGTTGACCTTATCAGGGTTTTTTTTTTATTTCTGGGTTTCAAGATAAAAATATTGTAAGTATGTCTTCTTTTGGCAGAGGGTACTCACATGCCATTCCTTAAGAATTATGAATTCTGCCCTGCTCAGCATCAGAATGTTTTGCTATGCTTAAAGATAACTCCTTCACTGCAAAAGAAGGATTCTGAATCTGAATCTGAATCTGATTAGGCTTGGGGAGTGTAAACTGACCATCTCCTTTGACGTAGCCCTATCATAGTTGAGAACAAAAGGGAATTTTTGAAAAGAAATGTAAATAGCCTTTCTAATGTTCAACTTGTTTACCTTGTTCATTGGGCAATCACCATATAGAAGTAAAAAATAAACTCTTGGATATCATTATGAGTGAAAGATTACTCTTGTGTTCTAGATTATGGCTTCCCTTCCCTTAAGAAAAGTGCATAAAACTTTAGAATGTGAATAATTGTATATAGCACCTTCTCCTTTTAGTGCATGTTACTTATATACCCGGTGACATGCAGTAAGGGGTCAACTGACTCCCAAATAGCACAACTGAATTTATGGCTAGAGATGTGATATCCTTGTCCACTATTTGACTAATCGAAACCTTTATTAGGGCCTTTAGGCCAGAGAAAATCATGACTGCATTTTTCAGCCATCATTATTGGTAAAGAATCTCCTAAGCAATTTCCCCTCAGCACTTATCTTTCTTTTTCTGTCTGCTGTACATTCTCTAAAGTGTTATTGCATTGGGGTACAAGATATGTAAGAATTAGCTAGTTTGTTTAGGAAGGGATGCACTGATAAGACAGGTTGGGAGAATGGAGCATAGTGCACTACTGTATTATATATTTTGGGCATCTTTGATAGCTGTGTTAGCATATGTTGATGCATGCCATACATGCAGTTCTGAAGGAGAAAGAGGTGCTTTCATGTATCTGTGCATGCAGGCACTTGGGAATCTCTGCATTTTTGTCATTCTACATACATATACTGTGTGTGTGTGTGTGTGTGTGTGTGTATTCAGTG